AAGTTATAGGGATATATATAGTGTGTGTGTAGTTAACATAAATAGATGTTCATGTGCAATAGGAAAATATGGAACAAAATAAGATATAACGACATACCCCTTCATGTGATAGTTGTAAATCTGTCGTTTATCCTATTTCTTTAAAGTATATAATCTCAGCTTCCCTTATACATATCCAAATCGTTTAACATCTTAGAGCCGATATATTCAACGTGTCATTTTGTATATTATGGTAGAGTGTATAGCGCGGGACTCGAGAATAATTGACTCAAGCCTATCAGCCTTTGTTAATTATTTGTCAAGCGTTTTCTCGTCTTCGTCATATAATCAACCATAACAACGCACATAAAATTGTATGACGATGATAAGTAATTTCCGGATTTAATTTCGTATTACTTGTTTTACGTTTACTTATTAGAAAAGCAGATAAAACGTATTAATATATCAAAGCAATCAGTGAAAAGTGATGATACAGCAACCTATCGTCCGCTGTTACATGTAACAGCCAATAGCCCAAGAAGATTCCGTCGACTCCGGAAAGAAATACGTGTCATCCAGTGAAAAACTTGATACATGTATGTCATAGAATGTCATTCAAATAATAGCACATTATCATAAAGTACGTTTAACAAACCAGTTCCCAAATTAGTATGTCTAGACTAAAACAGGGTTTCCGCTAACGATAACGTCAAACAATAGAAATATAATTACATCAGAATGATATGTGCCTGAAATAATTATGATTCAACAAATTATATTAATAATATATTATAATTACAATACGCAGATGAACAGAGAATGTGAAAAATACATTTACTAAAAAAGGATGAGACAACGGGTCATGCCCATATCAGTCCTTTTCCTTATGGTGTATGGAATGCTATACCTTAAACGGCCATTTAACACAATACAGTCCCACTTGGTAGTATTTTTTATGACAAGGCGTCCTTGAAACAGGTAGAGTCTTACATATGTATAAAGACATCCCTTAGCGATAACAGTAGGGAAGCGAAGTGGGAAAAGAAAACCTATAGATAGCAAGTGATGCAATGATTCAATACCTCCTCAGCAGAAGACCAACGAAGAAAAGGTTATGTCCCATTTGTAGTCACTTGTTACGACTATATGCAGTATGACAACGGTCAAACAGGACTATAGTCTAACGCGTAGGATGTATGAAAAAAGGCAAGAAAGAAATTTAGGTAGGTAGATCCCACCTACTACAATCATGTTAGGTTCTTCAGTGTTGCATAAATAGACAACCATGACAAAAGTATGTAGGGGAACCATAGACAGCAAAGAGTATGTAAAATGTTCTCATTCTAGTAGATAAAGAACACTTCTTCTTCGGGTGTGGCTATAATGCACAGCTAAGAAAGGACTATTTAAGTCAATATATTCAAAACTATTCTATACTTTACACAAATACTAAAACACATATTTATCTTTTGACGAAATGCAACTTATGCTTGACTCGTGCTTATTCATAAAACAGTCACTTGAAATGAGGAGTGTGGGCCTAGCTTCTGTGTAAGTTTATATCGTGTTCACTATTGCAGTTTCTTTGTATATGTTTGGTATTGTGATTTGCCTTCAAGTAACTATGTAACTACAAATGAGCAATACCATTATTAATTGAATTAAATTATGACTATATGATATGATGAAGTGGACCAATATAATCTTAACGTCCGACAAAAGACAGCAAACTTGTCGTCGATGTACTTACACAGCAAAGTAAAACACAAAGACGTTCAACCTACAATATTTAGGATTTTATAAATAGAAGGTTTAAGGTATGTTATTGGTTGGCAGTATTTAGCTATGCTGGATCTTTTACATCATTTGGCGTTAAGTATTTGTCAAGACATGATAAAACAGCTCGTTAAAATCTCTGACAGCAAATTTAAGTATCTGCTATTACCTAACGCACTTTCCAGAAGAGACTGTTTTCAGGCTGTTGCGCATTTAAATACATATATTTGAAGGACTTTAGATTTAAGTCATATCTATTTGTGTTAAAATGCTTGTTTAAATATCTAGTATATGGAAGGCATGCCTCTTTATCTCTTAGTGAAGTTGTAGAAATGCCGCTTAAATCTATCTTCACTGACTGTACATTCTAAAACGTTTAAGTATTTCCTATCTCAATAACGATGGAAACTTGGCTATTGGATGATGTTCATTATATTTTCGACAGAGAACGTATATATTTGTACTCTCCAAGATGCCAGGTTATGTCGATTTAATTCGTTTCACAAACACGTCAACATTATAAGATAAATATTACGCAATGGCTATAATCATGCGCGTACACATTGATGCATACCATTGTGAAACGTGACAGTAGGGTATTACATACTGTACGTGACATCGGCGTGTTACCATGGTGACACTAGACAGTGGGTTATTACAAATGTGATACCGTGACAGTAGGGGGTTACATATGTGACATCGTGACATTAGGGTATTACATATGTGACATCGTGACAGTAGGGTGTTACCATGGTGACATAATGACAGTGGGGTATTTCCATGGTGACAATGGTGTGTTACAATGGTGTCAACATGACAGTTGGTTATTACAAATGTGGTACCGTTACTCTTCTCACCACGCCATTCAGATATAGGCATACATTAACATAGCCTGTGGTAAATGAACGTGGTTTTTTTTATGTTTGTAAGGTGTGTGTGTGTGTGTGTGTGTGTGTGTGTGTGTGTGGGAGGGGGGGTGCGGTATTTCATGTATTTTAATGCAGTTTCAAACAATTGCAGAGTCGTTTTATGCAAGTGAAGGTGTATGAAGTATATGGGTGCGAACCGGCATTACACTGTCAACATCGTAATGTGGACGCTCAGTACTTGAGGTCGTCCTTTCTACCCTTGACCAAAATCATGTTTACGTTCTTATTCATGACCTTTCCTGATATCCCGTTGCTATTGTAAATGCTTCCCCTATTATCCCGCTACTCTTTCTTAAAAATACGCTGTGCATGCATCCGCTGTCAACTTTACCGAACCCTGGGTGGCCAGTTCGGGACATACATTGGTGAATGTTTAGCGCAGAGCTTTGCTAACTTGACACTAAGACAGCCCAGACAAGTTGGTGACGTCTCAGAAAGCATGCTTTTAGCGCCTAATCGACATGTTTTCATTAAATGTGGCTCGTGCCCATTACTAACAGTAAGTAACTTAACGAAAAACATCCAAACCCCACTCTGAGCTTTCGGTCTATGAATAACCTTCGACACAAAAAAAGAAATTCTTTATGGTTTCGACCAAGATGCTGTCTGATGCATAGGAGATTGTATTCTGGAGTACGGAAATATATAGTAAGATAAAAATGGCAATGACAGGAGTAAACAGTACCTATTGATCAAACCTCGTTCACCGCCGTCATTAGGGTGTTTGCATGTTTGGCTTAGACAAATCGTAAATATCACATAAGATATGTAAAGTGTGTAAAGTATACACTTGCATAATATATTAGTCTGACGTAATTGGGTTTATTGCGAACTTCTTGATAACATAATGACCCTGGCGGTACCAAACACATACGATAAAGTAGCCTTCTATAGATATGACCATCACAAACAACTCCCATCAGTCATTCGCCACAGTGTTACATGTACATGATGGCCGACGGCGCTTTTAGCTTTCTACAATATATCAAGTTGTTTAAATGAACATCTTTGTTTTTACACTACTTACAAAAGTGTCTTTCTCTCGGGAATACGAAGAGGTATTTTGGATATAAAAATGTCAAGGAAAGGGAGTGTAAATGTAAAACAGATGGAATAAATGTTGAAATTTGCCAGTACCATGCCTTCTTTGACATTTGTTTATCAATATGTGCATGAGGTATACAGCTGTTCAAACTAACTACTGACAGCATTTGACCCTTTTTTCAATATGAAGACTTTCTCTCGGTGGTAATTATAGCGTTCAGTAACGCCTTTCTCTCAGTGGTAATTATAGCGTTCAGTAACGCCTTTCTCTCAGTGGTAATTATAGCGTTCAGTAACGCCTTTCTCTCAGTGGTAATTATAGCGTTCAGTAACGCCTTTCTCTCAGTGGTAATTATAGCGTTCAGTAACGCCTTTCTCTCAGTGGTAATTATAGCGTTCAGTAACGCCTTTCTCTCAGTGGTAATTATAGCGTTCAGTAACGCCTTTCTCTCAGTGGTAATTATAGCGTTCAGTAACGCCTTTCTCTCAGTGGTAATTATAGCGTTCAGTAACGCCTTTCTCTCAGTGGTAATTATAGCGTTCAGTAACGCCTTTCTCTCAGTGGTAATTATAGCGTTCAGTAACGCCTTTCTCTCAGTGGTAATTATAGCGTTCAGTAACGCCTTTCTCTCAGTGGTAATTATAGCGTTCAGTAACGCCTTTCTCTCAGTGGTAATTATAGCGTTCAGTAACGCCTTTCTCTCAGTGGTAATTATAGCGTTCAGTAACGCCTTTCTCTCAGTGGTAATTATAGCGTTCAGTAACGCCTTTCTCTCAGTGGTAATTATAGCGTTCAGTAACGCCTTTCTCTCAGTGGTAATTATAGCGTTCAGTAACGCCTTTCTCTCAGTGGTAATTATAGCGTTCAGTAACGCCTTTCTCTCAGTGGTAATTATAGCGTTCAGTAACGCCTTTCTCTCAGTGGTAATTATAGCGTTCAGTAACGCCTTTCTCTCAGTGGTAATTATAGCGTTCAGTAACGCCTTTCTCTCAGTGGTAATTATAGCGTTCAGTAACGCCTTTCTCTCAGTGGTAATTATAGCGTTCAGTAACGCCTTTCTCTCAGTGGTAATTATAGCGTTCAGTAACGCCTTTCTCTCAGTGGTAATTATAGCGTTCAGTAACGCCTTTCTCTCAGTGGTAATTATAGCGTACAGTAACGCCTTTCTCTCGGTGGTAATTATAGCGTTCAGAAACGCCTTTTTCTCAGTGGTAATGTTAGCGTTCAGTTATGCCTTTCTCTCAGTGGTAATCATAGTGTTCAGTACTCACCTATCCAGACCGCCACGCTGACAATTGTGGCCACGGGAGCGTTCCGCCAGTTCATGGACTGTATAGGAAAGACAATGGCGAAGTACCTATCTATGGTCATTGCCATCAATGTCAGACAGGTTGCGTGCAGAGTGACCTGAAAAAAAACACGTCTATTTAAAGTAGGAATCAAAAAGTGATGACAAAACGTTATACATATATATCACTCGGACTCTATCTGTGTAGCGAATTCTGAAGTACATTGTAAGCTTTCGCTAAAGTGGATGTTTCTTACTTTTAAGTCTATTTGTAGATAGGCGATATTCAGACACGGGACCGACTAATTTGATGTCTTATGTTACATACTTGTATGGAGGGCTGGGGACGATATAAAACCGCCGACATTCAAAGCTTGTGATTTAGCAGCAAGTCTGCATCGTGTAGAAGTTTTTCCGGGCATTTGAGGGTCGGTAATAGTTACTTAGAAAGTAGATTTGGCATGATGTGGCTTTATTTATTCACCTCGTTCGATTAATTATTACGGTTTCTACTGAAATAAATTATTCACCGTATATTACATGTACCAGTTCCGATGTTGCCCCTCTATTCTGGAGACATTCGTCTTCCTAATCGCAGTATTTTTTGTATATTAATGTCTATATAGAACTTGTAATATATATAGGTCTGCAAATTTAATGGAATTTTTATTCCCGAAGGAGGACCTGTGGAAATCTTAAAATGCGTCCTTTCGATCAATACAGGGAAAGAATCCTTCCGTATAAATATAATTAAGAGATTTGTCGTTGCGAGAAATTCAATCTTAAATATCAGACAGTGTCCTTCTCCAGAGAGCTCCACAAGTGACTGCGATAGGTAGTGTCCCCGTCTTGGTGGACTCATTACATGACGTACAGATGTAGGAACGGTAGACAGAGCCCCTCCCTGGGGGGTCTTGCTTGTATGTAAGTACACAGCCAGTGTCCATCTCCTAAGTCGTTCGTTACGTAAGCACGACGAGTTTCCCTCTCGTGAGAATATGCATGTACGTAAAGACAACATCCAATGTTTCTCCTCGGATGATCGCGCATGTATTCTCCTTGGATGATCGCGCAGGTATGAAAGGAACTTAACGTTTGTTAATCAAACATCGCATTACTGAAACATTGAAACTGGTTGTTTTTGATGATATATCTCTTCAATTCGTTCATAAAAAATAAAGTTATGATGTGCTGATACACACAGTGGGAACAGATGGAATATATCCATCTATAAGATAACATGTGTTTAAAAACAGGAGCTCTAGATCTATTTGTACTGCGGTGAGCAACGAAAACCGTCTGATTATGATTTCTGGAACGTTAAAATCCTTTCCTGAATAAACGTTATTGATAAAACCGGGATAGAAGCCAGCCGTGCTTTGACATGTAAACCGTTTCACTGTCTAAACATGTGGATATGTAGTGTTACACAAGTGCTGATTACAGTATCCGGTGTGTTACACGCTGTGTGACGATACCACACGTCAATAGTGCTACATATAACTGTTGGGATGAATTCGAAGGTTTAATTAATGTTACTGTTATATAGATATCGCAGTGGACTAGATATTGTCCTCTTAAGTAGGTATACATATATCCTGATTATCGATAATAGATTTGCACTCTTTACTTGAGAAAGGAAACAGACGTTTTTGAAAGCCCGCAAAATACATTAGCCTTCGTTATGCATACCAAACTGGTAAATGTTATTCCGAATTCATATATCCCGTATTCATTATAGTTGAGGTGTAGATTTACAATATGTGAACATAAAACGTGTTTTTGGTTGTTGATTACACTTGTATTACGTATGATAGAATGGTATCGTTCGTTACAGAATATGTCAGTCCGTCAGACAACTTCCAAAATGTCAGACAAGTCGGGATGTTGTTCGGTTGATAATATCACCCGGTCGAACTTCACTGAATGAACTCTTCTTTTTCTCTCAAGATCGGTTTCTATTTTGTCCTATTCCTACTAATGTATTGAAATGCTAATAATTGGTTGGCGATTACATGCTAATATTTGATGATTGGCATATAATTCAGAGTGTTTTTAGGAATGAGGTTTCGCTAGTTTAGGGCTGATGTTTAAGTGAGTTCGCTTGAAAATATCTTATTAAAAATAAACCTAAATGTTTAATAGTTAATGCATCACAACACAAATGTTTTCAGTGGATACACCAACTTAAACGATGTTACATAATTTGATAAGTAATATTAGTTTGTCAAATTCGCTTTGTCAGCATAATCCAAGTTAGAATGTACAGTTGCCGTCATGTTTATATCGTATGTGTGCAGTAGATTATACTTAAATGATCTATAAAATACCCATGAATGACGCTCCTATCTAAAATGACGTTTAAATTCAATTAAAACAAATCTTCATTGACATCTATCGTCCACTACGCACTAAGATAAAGGGATTATTGTGGCTCTTGTCACCGATAATCCGTGTACGTTCGGCGGATGATCGCGGTGATACCGCGACATGTCATGGCATTGGTTGCCTAGATAAGGGCGAACGTATGTATATCGTACCACTATCTGTTCGTGATCACAAGTGCGTGGGATGGCTGAACTAATATATTTGTCATGGGAGAAAGTAAATGCCTTTAATGATACCTCTGATTAAAAAACGCAGACACAGGCGAATCCACTGCCATGGAGAAATCGTAAATCTTAAGATCGTATGATTTGCAACACTGTGCATTTGTGTACTTTTGCACACCAAATGTGATAAAATGCACGTGACAAGCTTCAAATAAATAACCCATGTATGATAGCAATACAACAGACAGGATATGTTACAATAGGGTGGTTCCGTTTGATATCCTTTCCATCTGGTTGGCGCTGTGAGTTATACCATATGCGGCCATCGCGAAAATACAAGTAAATCAATTCTATTTGGAGAATTTTGTTGTTTGGTGTTCAGTTTAATGTGCTCGCAATGACTAAAGTCACGTGAAACGGATGTCTCAGGAGACTAAAGTCACGTGAAACGGGTGTCTGGGGAGACTAAGGTCACGTGGAACGGGTGTCTGGGGAGACTAAGGTCACGTGAAACGGGTGTCTGGGGAGACTAAGGTCACGTGGAACGGGTGTCTGGGGAGACTAAGGTCACGTGAAACGGGTGTCTGGGGAGACTAAGGTCACGTGGAACGGGTGTCTGGGGAGACTAAGGTCACGTGAAACGGGTGTCTGGGGAGACTAAGGTCACGTGGAACGGGTGTCTGGGGAGACTAAGGTCACGTGAAACGGGTGTCTGGGGAGACTAAGGTCACGTGGAACGGGTGTCTGGGGAGACTAAGGTCACGTGAAACGGGTGTCTGGGGAGACTAAGGTCACGTGGAACGGGTGTCTGGGGAGACTAAGGTCACGTGAAACGGGTGTCTGGGGAGACTAAGGTCACGTGGAACGGGTGTCTGGGGAGACTAAGGTCACGTGAAACGGGTGTCTGGGGAGACTAAGGTCACGTGGAACGGGTGTCTGGGGAGACTAAGGTCACGTGGAACGGGTGTCTGGGGAGACTAAGGTCACGTGGAACGGGTGTCTGGGGAGACTAAGGTCACGTGAAACGGGTGTCTGGGGAGACTAAGGTCACGTGGAACGGGTGTCTGGGGAGACTAAGGTCACGTGAAACGGGTGTCTGGGGAGACTAAGGTCACGTGGAACGGGTGTCTGGGGAGACTAAGGTCACGTGGAACGGGTGTCTGGGGAGACTAAGGTCACGTGAAACGGGTGTCTGGGGAGACTAAGGTCACGTGGAACGGGTGTCTGGGGAGACTAAGGTCACGTGGAACGGGTGTCTGGGGAGACTAAAGTCACGTGAAACGGGTGTCTGGGGAGACAAAGGTCACGTGGAACGGGTGTCTGGGGAGACTAAGGTCACGTGGAACGGGTGTCTGGGGAGACTAAGGTCACGTGAAACGGGTGTCTCGGGAGACAAAGGTCACGTGGAACGGGTGTCTGGGGAGACTAAGGTCACGTGAAACGGGTGTCTGGGGAGACTAAGGTCACGTGAAACGGGTGTCTGGGGAGACTAAGGTCACCTGGAACGGGTGTCTGGGGAGACAAAGGTCACGTGCAACGGGTGTCCGGGGAGACTAAGGTCACGTGAAAGAAACAGTAGAGAAGTGAAACAAGAAATCATGTAGTTCCCTTTGCGGCAGAATATCAATTTCTGTTCAAATACAATGTTCACGAAGCAGAAGACATTGAAGCACCCCCATACCAGTCCCAAACTAATCCTTCCCTGATTCTGAAGAGGCCAAGAAACAGTAAGCCTATCTCCTCGAACCTGAAGTGATGTTATTTGAGAAATGTACAGACAACACTTGGAACGTTATCAAAAGTGAAGTCGTGAAACCACAACGTTGTTATTTTGTCATTTAGAAAAAGTGACTAGACGATAACTATTAAATCTGTTATACAATCAGTATATATACAAAAAAGTGCACCTGTGAACGCTCTGATGAGAAAGATTAAATTTAAAGGTAACATTTTGGAACATTCGCTGAAGCAAATACAAGGACCAGATTATTGCAATAGAGCTTGCCTGATGAGAACCACACAGTGTTAATATATTCACAAAGGCACTGCAAATGCTAAGGTCAGAGCAGTAATGTTATTAAACGTGTAATTGGTCCTTTTTCTAAACATTTTCTTCAGGTTGGTAAGTATGGATTATGAGAAGTTTGTTTTACACAACCAATAAAATGTTCTATGTGACGTTTCGATGACTAGTACGATATGTACACTGTCACCTTCATCAGACAAATGACCAATGAAGCGTATGCACACAAAGGTGTAAAATGTGTACGAGTTGTCCATAAAATCGATGTAATTGGTTCAGTACCGACAATGGAGCCATCACTGTATTATCACCTAATAAAAGGGAACGATGTGTCCAGTGCTTTACTAATAAGGTAGTGTCCAGTACTCTACGATACAGGTTGTGTCCAGTACTCTACGATACAGGTAGTGTCCAGTACTCTACGTTACAGGTTGTGTCCAGTACTCTACGATACAGGTTGTGTCCAGTGCTTTACTAATAAGGTAGTGTCCAGTACTCTACGATACAGGTTGTGTCCAGT